CTGTTGACTGTTGACAATCCGACCAGCAGTGCAAAGCTATTAAAGGCATAATAGGTCCATTGATTATGCAATTTTAACGAATGCTAGAGTGACTGGCACCTTGTGTAGTTAATAAGTACATTACCTTATAGCCAAACGCGTATTAGTTTGTCCAATATCACTGCTGGTTACTAAGAAATATCTAATTGAAATCTGCGGCCAAATAAATCAGTTGTTTACAGTTTCAAACCGCTTCCGGCGAAGCGGGTGTCATACAGATTATAGTGCACCGGACATTTTCGCACGTATGCTCGGCCGTATGCAATGCTATCATCAGTGATTTCGATCCTTGTGGTCTGAGTGCGCATTCCGTATGTTATGGTTTTACTCTTGAGAATAAATGAAGATCTTGAGATTACAAGCAACATATAATATGTGGAAAAGGATATTAGAACCCAATTTGACGAATCGTACGAACCTGCGTACAGCAAGTTCATTACACTATGGAATGGGAAACACATAAATGGTGCAGAACACACGGACGAAGACTGACGAACACCCACGGACTATAAACGGACAGCCCCGATAAAACGTTATATCCTTACCTTGTCATTTTACCTTATCACGAGCATCCATGTTTATTACGTTCATGCAGTATCTTTGCGCACTGGTAGATCATCTCCAGCTATTACCGTTCAGCTTGCAAGCTCTTGCCGCTGTATTGCGCTCAGCTGGCACGCTAGTGATAATTGTAACAGAAGTAGATAATAGATTCCCTATTATCTACTTCTGTTACAATTATCACTAGCGTGCCAGCTGAGCGCAATACAGCGGCAAGAGCTTGCAAGCTGAACGGTAATTTCCCTATTATCTACTTCTGATTTTAATGAACGTGGAATCCACGTACGACGCTCGTGATAATGAAGTAGGCTGTGTTGGGGGCCAACACTATGGGGGGATCGCGGACTAACCATGGCCACGGACTAAACATGGAAAGCAGACGGCACGGGTCAAACGAATACACCTGTGTTCGAAATTGAAGACATATGGGTACCCGTTCATTAGCACCCACGGTTATTTACTTGTGCCTCGATACCGAGATACACCCAGAGATACATGCTACGAGCTCATTGGTTGTTATAAGCATCTCGACAATGCCACCATGTCGGAGGAGCGGTATGAAAAGCGGACCGGAGTGGAAATTGCTCTGAAACTGTCACCTGTAACTGTCGGGATATCCTGAGGAACTGCAGGAAATAATGTCAAAGTAAGTTCGTAGTCGGCACCTCCGACAACGACTGCTTTGACAGCAGCCTGTTTTAGCAGGTTTGCTGGAGTAGGCTACGCAGTGTAAATTATTATCTAGGTTCAATATTACTAGGACTGGAAATTGGGTAAACCAAACTGTACATCTTTATGCAGTATGTTAAGAACGACATGAACTTCAAGTAACAGCATGCAGAAATAAATATTACGTACAAGAATTATTCTACAGACTGGAAACTCTGGAACTGTAGCGTCCGGACCTGTCTACAGTCTGGAACTGGAACTGGTATTTATATCGATTGATGCCTCATTTGCAACACCATCGACTATGCAAACAAAGTCTAGGTGGTGTACTCGCGTTGAATCACATAGGAAACAAATACACAATATCTGATACATGTACTAAGGAAAAGCTACTAGCAATTACACGTATATAGAAATTAGAAATCAGTTTAGAAAAATATTGAATCTAAAACTTGAACTGAAATGTCCAACAGGTGAACACTGAATGTCCAACAGGTGTTTTGCGAACTGGGCATCTGTTCTCAGTTTAACATTTTTCCTTGCTTATCTCCATCTCTCGAATTGATCTTGAATTGCTATCTTTGATTTCTGATATGATCTGTCAAATGATTGCTTTCTTCTTTTCTTTTCTGATGCTGACAATGGTGTTGGACGTTTGCGTTTAGCAGCACGCACAGCTGACACCTCCATTTCATATGGCGTCCAAAACATACGGGCCGCACAAATGTTTACTCAACGCTGGATTTGATGTCACGTGACATTTACGTCATCGCTTGACTACTGTATGACATTTACGGCACGTAAATGAATATCAACAGCCGATTTCAACTCTTGTTTGTAATGTAACCATCAGTGATATTGGACAAACTAATACACGTTTGGCTATAAGGTAATGTACTTATTAACTTGTAATGTAACCATCAGTGATATTGGGCAAACTAATACGCGTTTGGCTATAAGGTAATGTACTTATTAACTACACAAGGTGCCAGTTACTCTAGCATTCGTCAACATTGCATAATCAATGGCCATATTATTCCTTTAACTACACAAGGTGCCAGTTACTCTAGCATTCGTCAACATTGCATAATCAATGGACCTATTATTCCTTTAAATTCAAATTGTAATAATGATTATAGTTGCAAATTGGATACTCTGTACTAATGAATACGTCTGTGATTACTGAAATAAATTCTTAACATGAGTGCCTCACATGAGTTGGTTTGATTTATATGCTTTCAACTATACATAGTAGGTGAGTAAGTGTAGCGAATACTCGTTTGTTAAGAATGAAACAGAAACTGAACATGAGTGTAAAAGATTTATTAGCAATGTTGTACTCACTCGTCCTGTGTGTTGTTGCAGCGTATTGCAGCTACAGCTCTGTTCCTGGCAGCAAAGGTAGAAGAGCAGCCAAGAAAACTTGAACATGTGATCCAGGTGGCACATATGTGCCTGAACAGAGATGGCAAGGCAAAGCCCCTCGATACCAAGAGTGAGGTGAGAATAAATGCGGGAGTGTGTGCAAACATCAAGCTTAAATATTTTACTCGTGGATTCATCATGTTGCATCGTGCATGCACTGTGTCTGATCAGTCTCTTTACTCATTTTACAGGAATACCTGGAGCAAGCTCAACAGCTGATTGGCAATGAGAACACCCTTCTTCAGACACTCGGTGAGCTTTCTTCACCCCAAGCCACCTATCATGGCAGTAATAATGTAGCATTCGTTCCTGTGTCAAGGGCGTATGCAGTAATGAATTTACTGGTATATAGGTTCTTGCTAGGTCCTCAGTCATGTCTCTGATTATTATCAGATGCTGCAGAGGTATATTCACGCTGAGCAAAGTAAATGTAAGAGGCTGTGGGTATTTGCTTGTGATTAAGTTATATACAGCTCCCAAGCCACCACCCTAGTCTAAACCAGTTGTATTTGTTTTGGTGGATCTATTGTGTGAGATTGATATCCACTGTGCTGGTTAAAAATGAGCTCACATGTGAGGGCTTTCAACAAAATCCAAAAAGGGAACCAGTTAACAGAGGTTGTTGTAGTCCTGTTTAAATACATGTTTTCAGCACCTTTGATAGATAGATATTCTAAAATCAAGACTTGATGTTGCATTAAAAGAAATTTTGGTCTGGTAATTTAACTAATTTTCCTCATCTGCTAGCTGAGTGGTTGCAAGTAATTACAATCGGAGGAAACCCTATGAAGCGAATGCCCACACATTGTTGCAACCCGCATTTCTTGCTCATTTTTCATTTCAAATTTTTGCAGGATTTGACGTCGATATATTTCATCCGCATAAACATGTTGTCAACTGCTGTCAGCTCGTCAGAGGTATGCGATGTATGTGACGGTTTGCACTCGGCCACTTTCGTGAATTGTTTCGTTGTGTTATATTCAGTCGTTGGGTTAAATCGGGTTCAAAATTAACTTGGGCTTGATAGTGATACATTTTCTAGTGTGTAGAAACGGTGTAATAAGAAATATAAAGTGCATCGTATATAATATTAGTTAGATTATTATACTACTTGAAAGAATAACCGTGGTAGTGTGATGTGGGTTTTTTTTATTCTCACAAGTTAGTTAACTTGATGCTGGCTCACAAACACAATTGCTTTGGTCAATAATTTATTCTCTTAATTTTAGAAGCAATATTAACCTCTACATTTGCTTGCAGTTTTAATGGTAGTTGTGCCATAAATGGATTTTAATGGTAGCTCTGCCATAAATTCGATATATGGCTTCAGTTCTATTAGCAAACAAACCTTATATGATATAAAATTATAGGCAGTCTTATAAGTTATCACGTTGCATTCTTTGCATGGATTGTAAGGAATACTGCTTTTTTACATGAGCCGAGTGCGACTGATGTTTATTGGGTACTAATAAGGTATCTTGGTATTAATCTATCACAGTCCAACTAATAAAAAATCACTAATAAACTGACGTTTAAATGATAAATAACTAGAGCAAGCTGTTATTGTGCCAACAAAATGTTTCAGTGCAACATGAATATTTCTCCATGAATGATAGCACGTGCAGTGTCAACGCCTATAATTTCAAGCATACAATTGTTCTTGTATTTGTCCTAAAATGGGAAAATTGGTTTCTAGCATAAATGACTTCTCGGCACTGCCATGAAACACATACCGGATGAATGGTGCATGATTGTATTACAGTGATTCTGTCTACGATCGTAGCTAGATGCATTTCTCACAGTTTCATTATTCCTCGCAGCTACAAAGGATCTTGCACAAACCTCATACTTCATGGCAACCAACAGGTGAGGTGATGATTTGCCTCTGTCTGTGAATTAATTGGAGTCCTCTACGCTCTCTCTATTCTTCCTTCGGTGCTGTTCTCGGCCCAAACCCACCAATCACACAATTGTATTATTTCCCACCTTTTCGTCCCTTGCTCCAAATCCTGTTCTTTTCCTCGAGTAAATCACTCAAGTATTTATCAATCACTCTTATAGTAGGCTTTGTAATGTGCAAGCGTCCTTTGCCTTGGGCGTTAATATCGTCACCTCGGGAGAATAATTTCTGTCAAGCAACTGTGAGATGTGTTTTTCTCAGTCGCCCCCACTTCGTTTATTTTCAGTCTGCACCTGACGACTTTCTGCCTACAGTACAAGCCGACAGTGGTTGCCTGTGTCTGCATTCATCTAGCCTGCAAATGGGCCAAGTGGGAGGTAAGCAGCCCTGAGCTTTCGCAATGCGAGCAGCACACGAGGTACCTGGTGTACGCCAAGGAACGAAATATAACAAGGAGAGGAAGCGGATTGACTGTGTGCTTTTCGCCTCATAATCAGCTGAAACGGCTGTGCAGACCGAACCCAGAGACAATAGAACACTAATCTGTTCTAGGGTCTCTGCCGAACCCAAATTTGGGTCAGATATGGCGGCGCTTCTCCTCTCCTTGTTATATATAGCTCCTTGGTGTACGCGACGCGTGTTCCGTCACCGTGACCGCTTCACCGCTTTCTGCGCATCGCGCGTCGACGTCACCGTGGCGACCGTCACCGTGGCGACCGTCACGCAGCGCGCGTCGCCGGTTATAGCCGGTTCAGGTCGCAGTCGTGTGGGGGTCGGCGCAGTGAGCGGAGAGCTCATCCTGTGTGCTCCTGCCTTTCAGATTCCTCTCAGTTCGGAGGGGAAGCAGTGGTGGTGGTATGTGGACAAGTCGGTAACCGAGCAGGATGTGGAAGGTAAGCAGCGAATCGCTTACGCGCTCGCTCGCACACAGCGTGTTTGCTCGTGACGGCAACTGCCAGACATCCACACGGACACAGCCAGATGCTAATGGATTATTCGTGGGGTCTGGTTTCATGTTACCTGTCCATTCTGTGAATTCGTTGTGAATTTCTTGGAAATTGTTTGTGTACATCAGTTGGGTGAGCGTAATACCAAAGTGGCTGTACATATGGGGCTGCTCACATGACGTATACCACTTGCCTTTATAATTTACGCGTATTAAGATTGCTGAGATGTGTTTGCTATATGCTCAGTAAAACCTGAGTTATGATCCCAGTTATAGCCTGAAACTGTGGTTTGTGCAGACTGAACTGTCAACTGAATGTGTGAAGAGGCGGTTGCTGTACTTCTTGTTGTCCTTACTGAATTTTATGTGTTGCTATGATTGCTAGCAGCTTGATCCTGACTGTTTATGTCTACCATTTTGAGGTGTGCGTGAATGCAGAATTGATTGTAAAGAGAGCACAGAGGAGAGAGCCAGAGTGGTAGTAGCACTTGGCATGTATAAAGAGAGAGAGAGAGTGAGTGTGTGTGCATGTGCATGTGTGAGTGAGTGTGTGTGCGTACATAATATGTTCATGCAGGTTTGTTACCAGGTTTTGACTTTTTCTATAGCTTTGATAGCCAGCGTTGCTGTTGTCCTGGTTACTTAAGTTACCGTGATACATCTAAAAATTTGACAGTATCCATGGCAATATACTGTGGCTACCTTACTATGGTTTATATGCATTACCTTCCTATGAAGTCCATGATATATGTGTGCTTGTTTGTCACACATATTGGGTTGTTAAAATGTACATGGCCGCGATAATCCTTCTTTCTAGGAAATCTGTACTTTGGTGCCTCTCCAGTCTTCTGTGGTGCCCTTAAATTTCTGGGTGACTCAAAGGCAATATTTGCCTTCCCTTTAAAAATTCACCCACGCTTAGACATAAGCTGTTTTGCTACTTAATATTTACAGACTTGACGGCAGAGTTTCTGACGATCATGGAAAAAACACCAAGCCGGCTGAAGAGCAAGATTATGAAGTACAAGGTATCTACATTTCGTGTACACATGGCATACACACCTGTACATACTCTGATGTGTTCGCCGATGCCGCTCATACCCTCGATGTTTTATTCCTTGAAATTTACTGTTGATTTCTCCTCGATAGAATGTGATTTCTCTTAGCTGTCTAGAAAACATTAAAACCTGATCTGGTTAGCTATTCTTTTAATTAGCGAGTCGGTGTGCTGGAACGTTGTTGATAACGTTGCCGCTGTGCATTATTACAGCAGGTGTGTGATAGCCGGAAGCAGAGTGGAATCGATCCGGCGCATGAGCATCATCATCAGGAGCAACAGCATCCACACCCGTCACATCAGCAGCAGCAGCAGCAGCCCGGCCCCTCGCACTCCACGCAGCATCAGCAACAACCTCACCCGCAGCACCGACGACCGGCCATTGACCCACCTAAGCCGCAGGCGCCTCCTATGCCTGCCTACGAACTGCACCGCAACATATTCGAGGACTTGGAGATGCCGGACATCTCACCGCCTAGGGGCGCTCGCAGCGAGATGTTTGCCGCGCCGACGCAAACTGTCGAGGCAAAGCCCGGAAAGCTGAGACCGGAGGACTACAGAGAGCGGCGGTTGAAGGAACAGAGGGAGGGCAGGGATCCTCATCACCAGCAGCCTGAGCAGGTGAATACTGTGCAACGTGATTCTGCATTTAGATTGAATGCAGCGCGTGTGTAATCAATCCAGTGCAAATAGCTTCGCCTTTTTCAGCGGGAATTCGTAGTAGCTAAGACAACGTTAAAACCTTGCCTTCGATTTCAGCAGATACGACACCCAGGCCAGCAGACGAGCACAACTAGAGACCGAATGTCCGACCATTACCACAGACCACCTACGACATTCGGCGCGGGATCGCAGCACCAGCACGCCGCCATGGCCCGCTCCGACCACGCGGCTCCCCACCACCAGGGCGGCGGTGCGCGTCCCGATCAGGCGGCCGAGCGCACACAGCGTGGGCGCCCACCCGACCAGCACGCAGGCGGGGCGCGGGCGGACCACGGCGCGGAGCACGCGCACAGGCCCCGCCCGCCCGGCCAGACCGAGCATGGCGCGGAGCAGCACTCACAGAGAGCGCGTCCGCCGCCGGACTACCACGGTGCCGCCGAGCCGCGGTTGCGGTCTGTCGCGCCGGGTCACGTGTCCGCGCCGGCTCATCCCGCGGGCATACCGGTGCTAGTCCACGGCAACTCTCAGGGCAGGGAGCAGGCGGCGGCAGCGGCGGCGGCGGCAGTGGCAGCGGCGGCGTCGGCGCCGCCTCCCACGGACAGACTACTGAACCTCGGCTCGCCCGAACTCAGGAAGAGCAGCAAGCATAAGTTGGAGCACGCTCACCACCGCCCCGTCGACCAGCAGCATCGTACTGAGCCGCACAGGAGCGGTAAGGAGCGCTCGCAGCAGCCGCAGCAGCCGCAGCAGCCGCAGCAGCAGCAGCCCGACGCCGCCACGTCGCATGCAGACAGCATGCAGGCGCGGACGGCCGCCGAGATGGGCGCCGCGCTGCAGAAGCTGGTGGAGCGCAGTGAGAAGAAGGAGGAGCGCGAGGAGCAGTCTCGCAGGCAGGCAGACGCGGCGGCGGCCACGCACACCAAGACGCACAACAATTCTCAGCAGCAGAACGCGTCGCCAGCGTCCTCCAGCCGACACAAGAAGCGGAGTCGCGTGGAGGCGCCACTCGAGTCGCCGCAGCAGAAGGCTCTGCGGGTGGACGGCGTCGAAGCCACGCATTCCTCGTCGCCGAAACTCATCCCTGTGTTGCAGACGTCCCGCATGAAATCTCCTGCTGTGAAACCGCCGCATTCGGCGTCGATGTCTACCGAGCAGACCTATAACTGTGAGCCGACGGACGCGGCGGCTGCTTCTGCTGCCGCTGCCAACGGCAACGAGGACGCGTTCGTCGTGGCAACGAGCGAGGATGGACACAAGCTGAAGCTGAAGATCAAACTGCCGAAGCCAGACAGTGATAGCAGTCAGCCCGGTGATCATCACAAACACAAGAAGCATAAAAAGAAGCAGGACAAGCACCGCGAGAAGGAGAAGCGCCATCACAGCAAGCACCACGCGGCGGCGGCGCCGCCGCCGCCCGTAGACAGCGACAGCCTGCGGCAGGTTGACAGTGCATATCAGAAGAAGAGCGGCTACCAGATGCCGACGGGACAACCGCGGTCGTCCGCGCCGACGATGCCCGCTCCGCAGCCAGTGGCCACTGCGCAGGCGGCGGCGGTCAGTGCTCCACCAATGTCCTTGCCACAGCAGATGCCTGCGTCACAGAGACCTCCGCTGCCGCCGGCGTACAACATGTATCAACCTCCTCCACATCGGCAGCCCCAGCAGCCCTATAACTTCCCTCACATGGGTTACCGGGGTCAGCAACCCCCACCTGGGTTCCCCCCTGGCACGCTCCCACCACCGCCACCAAAATCCCAGCCGCATCCCAACTATCCGTACTACCAACAGCCCGCAGGTTACCCTGCTGCCCCGGCATATATGGGCTACTCCTACCCTATGCACCAACCCCCCAATCAACCGCCTCATCCTTTCTCACACAATCATCCACCACCTCCTCTTCCTCCCCCTGGCTCACCTCCTCCACCTCCCCCACCCCCAGAATGACAGTAGTATCGGGGTGCACTGTTTTAAAATGCTAGATTATAATTTTTGATGAAAATTGTTTAAATTTTGACATGACTGGGTTTGAGCTCTGTGCACAGTGATCTCTCTGTGATTAAATACTGGTTGCATTTGAGTTGCACAGAAGGCCTGTGTAAGCATCTTTGGTTGCAGCTCTGTATAGCAGCAAGTGTTTTTACCCTGTGCTAGTGTTAGGGTTCCATAAAGGGAGTTTTAGGGCCAGTCTGTGTAATTGATCGTTGAACGTTTCACTGGACGAGCTCACAGCACTTGCCTGTGTATAAAGTGATAAGTGATAAGCATACTGTCAGGTTGTGCAGAGTGAAGGCGATATATAACAGAATCATGTTGACGTGTTTGTTGGTACAAATCACCTGAGTTCTACGTTATATTGTTTTCTTATTATCGTAAGCATGTGTCACCATATGCATTAATTGGTAGTGCGGAGGTAATTTTCAGGCACTTATCAGCCTTAAACTATTGCCTCGTTGTGTGGAGGAAGGCACAAGATGTAACCCGGTGTAACTTTGTGACGTGCTAGTGTGCCGTGATCTCGGAAACTCGCGAGCACGTCAGCTTTGGTGAAGTGATTAGGTAAATGGCATACGTAGTGTAGGCTGAACTACCCACTGGACGATAAATAATCGAAGTTTCTGTCATTATTTTATCGACTTACTTGCGGAAGGTGTATTTGAGGCCCCAGCGCTAGCGCCACTGGTGAACTTGGCAAGTTGTCTACACTGGTCGCAATTCTTTAGTTGTTTGTTTTTGCCGGTCCACGTGCGTGTAGGTTTGGAAGCGAACCTATTTTGAGTCGGTTATGTTTTGTAGATAAGCGGCATTGGGATTTGGGAGATGGGTGTGCCTAGCAGGCGACTATATGTGTGTACAATCACCTGATAGAAAGATGTTGCAGCAATGGCAGTCTGTATATAAGAATTGAAAATAGTGAAATGTCTGTGTCATATTGTATACATGCGCATTTTTTGTATCTCTGTGGTTCGCACAGTGGGTGCCACCACCTTGTCTTTGGCTTCAGGGAGCCGTTATAATGTCGGAGAGATTCTTATTATTTTTCATTAGTAAATTATCACTCATTTTTTGTTTATCTTTGCCATTATTATAATGCCTTGTAAAATAATTAAACTGTTCTGAACCAGTGTAGAAAATCAGAAGAAAAAAACCAAAACGGGGAAAATATGCAAATATAAAATGTTAATTTTTGTTAAATGGCATAGGTAACCATTCTTACATACACTGGGTTTAACCAGTCCTGTAGTAGTGCTGCTGTGTGCCATCCAAAGGTGTGCAGATTCAACAAAACTTGGGATTCCAATTGCTGCTAAAACTATAAAAGGTGCTTTGTAAATATTGGTGATACACAACAAACAACGAAACAAATAAAAAAATTTGGTGTTAGTGGCTCTGTTCAGTTGCAAATATCCACCTTGCACAAACCCCACTTTGTCACAGAAAACGCGTTTGTGTTGCGGTAAATTAACGATGTTTTTACGACTGCACCCTCGCGTGATCCCAGATGCAGCTTTGGAGTCCCGACTTTCCCTATATTACAAATTGGCAGACAACAGCGCCACCTAGCATGGACTGGTTGTTCCAGTGTATGCCATCTTATGAGTATTAGAATAAGTGTACGATGAAAGGTGGGCATGCAGTTATCAGCACTGCAATGATGCTTCACTGTAATCCGATTTTATGTGTACACGTTTCTTCTATCTTTTACTTTTGAGTGCCGGCACTGGCATGCTCACACATCTGACACACTGGCTCCTTCCGTGTGTGTCTACGTACGTGGCAGCCTGTCCTGCATTTAGCACAGTATGTATCTAGTAATGAGCAGAGATTAGCAGTGCAGACTTTCCACTGCACTCCGACTTGATTAGCCGGTTCTGCCGCGCTGCTGTTGAGTGTGTGACGCTGTCACAAGACTGATATAGGCAATTTTCACGTCCTTGCATTGGCTGTTTCGCCAGTGGCACTTGTGTACCGACCCTCCGTCACCATAACATTAAAACTTGTGGAAACAAGAAGGCAACACTGGCAACATTATTTTTGAGCTATTGGTTGCACATAGCACCACATGCCTTACTTGAATCTGATACAAGCACAAGTATCGCTACATCAAGAACACCTTTCACTTGTATCACATAAAGATGAGTAATAGTCAATTCTGCACAAACTGTTTGAGAAAATTTATCTAGACGTGCTTCAGTTTGTGAACAATAGATAGACAGATAACAAAAAACATTTGGCATGATTTTGAACTAACATTTCAACATTTAATTCTACTAAGAGACGGCAGTTACAGCAAATCGGTAAATACAGGGCATGTGTGGCTACTGTCCCCCTCTCAGCTGAAGGTGAGGTTATGACTGCACTTGATAGAAATAGATGCATTGCAGATAACATTTATTTCGTATGCTAACATATTCCACAGAAACAATCTTGTACTAGTATAAGTAGTATCACTGATGTTAGGTTGGACCATTTCTACCCATAACGGCCGCCTTGATTGTGTCTTGCAGAAACTTGACTTTATTCACCACTGTGTCACGCTCATTCCACTGAGTGTAAGGCACCTATGCAAACAGAATACATTTTTAATTTTCATGGTATATCACGCTGCATCGCTGCACTGGCCTATTTGTTTGTGCAGATGAGCGAAAACTGTCACAACCTGTGCAACTCTTTATAGGTGGCCACGTTGACTCTATTGAACACCTATCAAACCAAGGCTTGTCTATTCAAACAGTTGTAGTAGGTCTCAGGGGAGAGATAGTGACCCGCTAGATGGCGCATTATTAGTGTGTTGTGGATATAGAAATTAGTTAACCCTAACCCTAACCCTAAAATAAAACAAAATTAGCCAAAAATAATAAAAATAAATAAGAGACAAAATTAGTCAATCAGAGCCGTCCCCTAGCAGATTACTATCTCTCCCTTGTGCTCAATTTAAACAGTTGTACTTGGTGCCATCACAGCAGTCATACCTGAGCCACAGTGTAACCGCACTTCCCGAGATGTCGCACTGCCATTGCGTTTGCCCCTGTCAGTTTTACCGTGTGCTGAGTCATCGACGTAAAATCCCAGATCAGTAGTGCGACCCTGCATAACATATCATTTAGCTCAATAACACCTGACACACTGGCTCTGCACCACCTGCTTGTGCTGTAACTATGTAACAATATCTCGAGTTGTTTTTTTTACACGATGAGAATGGACGATTCTGGTCCATCCGTGGCATTTGACATACGATTCGCATTACAACCGCAGCGATGGCACAATGGTAGAGTGCTCGCCTCGCATGTGGAAGGTCGGGGGTTCAACTCCCGGCCGGGTCAAACCAAAGACTTGAGAAATGGTACACACGGCTTCTCTGCTTAGCATTCAGCAAATAGAGATAGAGTGTGGCAAGTTAACTCGCAGTGCTACCAGTGGACTAACCCCCTACTGTAGCATTTACTGTGAAAGCAGCTGCGGGGCCTCGGGGTTACTGAAACGGAGATAGGCACCGCCATATAGGCGCGGGAAGGATTTAACTTAACTCGCATTATATCACAGAGAAAACTGCTCACCTCTTTGCTCCTAGTGGAAGAGGTTTTCCATTGTTGTAGTCGTTTAGCAGCAGTGGCTTACCTGTGGCGTCCACCAGCAGCTCGGCATCTGCACAGAAACAGCAGCCGATGGTTGATTATAAGGTTTCAGCATTGTCATTACTTACCCAACTTGCTAACAAAAGCATAACAATAACTTATATTTATCACATATATAAGCTTTTATGCTACATGGAAATTTGTAGTGGCCATGACAAAATGCTTTTATCACATAATTTTTGTAAAAATTAAGACACTGCTGTAAATTGTAATCTAAACATAATACTCTGCTAGTAGGGTACTATCTACATAATTAATCAAGGAGTTGTTGTCAGAAACTCACAAATACTTATGACTATTATTCGTGTAAACATTTATGCCATAACATTTGCACAACACTTGACTGCATTTGTCATGACATTTTATATTCATAAAGTAATAACTATTTATCTTTCTGACAACAAGCCATTTCCTTGAAACCGCTAACAATTTTATTCATACATAATATCAAGAACCCATGAAACTGAGTGAACACGGCCAAAAATTGGAAAGTGTGTCGTAGAAATTAACTGAAACCTAGACATATCTGTTTTTGCTGTTATTCGTTCTCTAATATGACAGTATGATAGGCTCTCGTTAGCTAGATTCAGATCCTTTCGTATAAGCTGGCGATCCATTACTTATAGACCATGAACACATTAATAAAGCTGCTCACCTATGCGATAGCCAGTTGGATGGAAGACATTCACCTCCATAAACTTGCCTTTGGGACTGAAGTTTTGCAATGATTCCATCACTGAGTGCAAGAAGGTGCTCTTCGATGTACTTTCTGTAAACTATTTCACAAACATGATTCAGACTCAAGAAAGAATACCAACAAAGTTTCCCCTCTTTTTTTGCATCCAAACTACGATAAATCAATGCAAAGTGTGTGATAAATCTGTCATTCATCATGTGAGGAAAAATCTTGTTTATAGTTTTGGCAGTGATATTACTGAGCAAGCTCTCCACCTGTGTGGGATATTCAGTAGAGAAGTCAGTTGGCAGTCGAGGTCTGTCACTCTGTTGTTCCTCGCTCATGTCAAGCCTCGCTGCAGCTTCGATGTTCATTAGCTTCCGTCTGTTGTTCATGCTAGAGTGACTGTCAGACTCTGAAAACAATGAAGCAATGTCACGTATAATGGCGGAGGACTGCAAGATAACAGGAGTTAAAATGACTATTGCGAGATTTTTGCTCAGAAAAACGAAATATAGCTGAATATAGTCTCACCTGACAGCAAAAATATCACTGATTACACCAACATTAAAAATACTAAAATTGTATGCAGTTATAGCATAAAAAATTGGATATGAACACATCGTAACAGCAATGCATTTTATCGTGTCACGACAATGCCTAGTTGCCAATGTCAAGACATTTTATTGTTACTCTAGACAATTGCTGTTACTCAAGCAATAACGGTAGGTATCATGAAAGTGGGGAAAACACTGGAAAATTCTCGCAATAATCGCGTTAACACACTTGAGCTGTTGAGCGGTTACCGTCTTACCGATTAACGTCTGGTAAAAGGCTGGATCAAGGACGATTCTGATGACCTCTTCGGACAATTTTTGAAGCGTGGCGAGAGACCAAGCAACGTCCAGCAGCACCTCTGGTTTCTTTACTAGTCTTTGAAGGGATAATAACTTCATCACCTTGTCCAACACCTGAAACACATGGGTATGTAAAATACTACACTGCAACATGCTACCATCAACATAGACCACGAAATTGTGGGATCGACAAGTTAAAAAAAGAAAACTATATCACCAAATCAAAATCTATACCATAAACCACAAAATTGTGGCATAGACAAGTAAAAAATAAATCAAAGAGTAATCAAAATACAAAGCATGTACCTGCGTCTGGTTCCCGTCAGGCTTGTAGTTCAGTCGTGCGAGAGTGAGCACGTAAGAAACAAACTCCTTCTCACGACATCGGCTCGAATTCTTATCCATGAAATCCGTGAATAGCTCCAACAGCACCGGGTGACGCCACTTGAGGTGGCCGAATGAGGTAAGCAGCGACGACGTGACGAACGGCTGACGAATGTTGACGACTTCCGGCGTCAGGTCGATGCAGACGCGCTGCAGCAGCTGCTGGTCGTTGAAGTGCAGCACGCTGCAGGCGTAGGCAAAGTCCATCGCGTGCTGCACGCTGACGGGTTCCGAGCGCCGGCTGACGTGGTAGGAGACGGCGCGCAGCAGCGGCAGGCTGCGGCGACGATGCTTCGCGAGCACGCACACGAGCTTGTGCAGCTCGCCGACGCTCATGCGCTCGAGCAGCTCCAGCGCCTTCTCCTCCAGCTTGCCGAACAGAGCCGGCGAGATCGGCTGCGCGTGCAGCATGATGCTCAGCAGGTCGCGCGGCTGCTCGATCTCGACCCAGCGCAGCTGCAGCGAGTGCAGCGCCTCGTTGTACAGGTTCCGCTCGAGCTCCGTGCGCTGGTAATCGCGCACCGCGGCGAGCAACGCGGCGATCTTCGACACCGTCATGCGCCGCAGTCGCCATAGCAACTCGTTCTCGAGCGACTGCACCGTGTAGGCGTCGCCGGCGAGGCCGAGGTGGAGCAGGGCGCGAAGCGCGGCGACGGCGACGCCCTGCGGGACGGCCGACACGTTTACCGACATCGTCTGGCACATGCGCTCGAATCCGGCGTGCGAAACGACGTCGCTCAGACCTGCGTTCTCTAGCTGAGCATGCTTAGCGAGCAGCGTGAGAGCGCTGCCTGCCTGCTGCACTGTGAGCGGGCGCGAACCTATATTCAGTAGGTCTTCCGTTGATTTCGATTCGAATATAGCTCTGTCTGTAGGCGTGCTTACCCAGTGGGGTAGCTTTGTTTCCTCACCTTCATTGGGAGACGGCACGGTCGCGTGACTACGTGCAATGCTGGCAAGCTGGCGATTGCTCAAGGGCTGTAATGTTGCATGTCTACTTGTAGACACTCTGGCTATATTGACTAGCACGGTAGACAGTGTGAAACGTCTGCTTAGAACATCGACGGCTTTTCTAAGCACAATCTGTTGCAATACGAATGACGACATCATATGTTGATGGATGACTAGTCTTAATGCCTAAAAAATACATGAATCAGTGATAGTTACTGGTAAGGATATCACATGAAATGCACATACAACCATCTATGGGTATCCGATGTACATGGGTACAAGCATGTAAAATTAGTAAACATCACTTTCCTTGGTATTCCCGCACAGTTGCCCATCCCCATGGCCCATATAATATAACCTAGTTGCCACAGCCACCTGTATGTATTATTTAACCTAAGCAATAATACTACTAGTAGTTATACTAGACTGTAGCCTGACCAGGCTCTGTGACTGTTTCACTTCGTAGGAGCCCAACACCTTTTGATACGAGAAACCTTGTAGTTATCAAATCTCAAAAATGTTTGCTGACATGTAATTACATTATTAGTAATAGCGCGTTAATAATGACAATAGCGCAAAAGTACACAGAAGCAGTAAGAGCCATCATAAGTTTGGTACTGGTACACTGATATATTTTGTTGCAAAAACGGTTTGGTCGCTTCGTTTGCTGGCAACCTTGTCATGATGTAGTGAGAAGCGAGAGGGTAACTTGTGGCCAACTACGAACTAGACTGTAATCTTGAGTGTAATCTACACTACACACTTCTGCTACAGTACACTCACACTGTACACAGTACAGTGTACTGACAGTGTAAGACGTCACATACTATAATCTGATTATTCCGATTAGTACGTGCAAGCACCCGAGACATCACCATGCATAGCTACGCTCATAGGGTCTATGTCCCCCAGGGTACTGCCGGAACGTACCCTGGTAACTATTTGATATGGTTAGGGTTAGGGTTAGGGAGTAGGCGTAGGCGACTCCCTAGACTCGTTAGTGGAGTAGGCGAGGTGCAGTCCGGCATATTAGATAGTACCAGGGTACGTTCCGGTAGACCGGACCGTACCCAGGGCCAGGGACCAGGGTACGTTCCGGCAGTACCCTGGGGGACATAGACCCTCTCAGCCATAGCTACAGCATATTCCTAAACTTATTATTTTTCATATTAGTGACATTTACTTGCAAGTGATATTGCGGCTTTGGTTATTGAATAATGTTATTTCACGTGGCTAAGGACACACTGTGACTGTCACTGTCACACACTCACAGTGCAGTGGACCGTGTCAGTGACGAGTTCTAGCGTAAAGCGGTAAGTTTAAAAGTTTGAAGTTTGTAACTGACATCTACGGTTTTTACTTGGGATAAACACGCGTCCCAGTTGTTATAAACTACGATATTTGATCGATATCATTCCATTTTAGGCATACCCACCATAGGTTTCCAATAAAATTAGACTGGCCACCTAGGCTGCCATATTGGTTGCCTGAAAGTAAGTTTAGTAACCGTTATTTTTGTTTTAAGAAACAAATATGTATGTCTAAATTATAAATCAGCATAATAACTGATAACAAAATAAGGACTGTTATAAAGTCTTTTAAATCGAATAGATTAATATGTGTATTTTGGTGATTATACTAAAATTACTCGTCTATATTTACTGCAGCCCGGAAACCGTCAACGAGCGGTGTTTTTGAACGTCCGTTTCTTTCGTATCAAGATTATTTACAGTCTCATCGCAAAAAGGGTTATTTTAGGTATATAGCTATGTAACTTAGCCAGTATAATCAGCATATTTTAAAGAGATTGTGTTCTTTCCGTTTTTATATGATGTATGAGTTATATTTGTTCCGTTTCAGCTTCGTTAGTTCATTCATTGCACGTGACGTAGCCGCATACTCATTCTGCATAGCCACACCAGTGACCACAGGCACTTGGAACGTCTCAATAAATAAAAAAATGTAAACACGAAATGTATTTACTACCTAAGTCTTAAGGTTTCTTTACTCTATTTCGCCTATTATTGCCGATAACTTGCTGTAAATGCTCATCTGCAACACACAAGTACACCGCACGCCCGCCCAGTACACAAACAACATGATGTCATGAATAAGAGATTCATAGCAAGAGCGTATAAAGAAGGAGAGCGTACAACGGTGAAATGCTGAAACCATGTTGCAGTATTAGTCGAATTAATAAACTTTCCCCGTTTTATTTTGACGATTCTTTGTCAGTATTATTGATCAGCTGTCCTACCTGGTTAATATAAAACAATCCGCATGTCCCGACGATGCCCCTATGCTGAGATAATGAGCGGTGAAAATGTGGTATTTTTGCCGAAAAACCGACTTGAGATCAGTGTTTACTGCGACTGCCTCTCGCTTTGAGATAACTTCGGGAAACCGCGCGTGTTTCCGTCGATGATTGACAAATGGAATGAATGACGTCTGTTATTGATTGCCATAGTTATGACCCCCACCTGTGCCCACCTCACGCTGGATGTGTAGTAATCTCTGTAGTACTGACGGGAGTCACCGCTACCATGGCGCTACACAGCGGCGACCGGAAGCAATACACTGGCCACAAAGCGAGAGACAGTCGCAGTAAACACTGATCTCGAGTTGGTTTTCAGCGTAGGAGCATCTTGGGGACAAGCGGTTTGTTTTATATTAACAAGGTAGGACAGCTGATCAATAATACCCCAAAGAATCGTCAAAATAAAACGGGCAAAGTTTCTTAATTCGACTAATACTGCAACATGGTTTCACCATTTCACCGTTGTACGCTCTCCTTCTTTATACGCTCTTCATGTTATTCTTTCTTATTCATGTTGTTGTTGCCACACTGCCACTTGGGTGTATTCCTCATGCCATGGAACAGTCACTAGCACTCCTTGTAACCATGTTTTTATTGTTCTAGTATCGTGTCTACTGTCTAGACTCTAGTACATGGATGTACAGCAAATACTTTGCAAATGCTGTTGACTATTTCTATAACATATACATGTGTATATATGTAAACTATGAGTATTGAGACTATGAGCTATATAAACAGTCTCAAAACCAAGCCACCCGCGCGGTTAAAGCTGCTAAACGCAATTTTGAGCATAAATTGGCAAGCAACATTAAAAGTGACCCCAAGAGTTTCTGGAAATGTGTGAGAGGGAGGACATCTACCAAGGACCATATCGGGCCACTAACTGACGATTCTGGTACTGTGATAACAGATAACAAACACATGGCAATGAATTTAAATGACTATTTTGTATCTGTGTTTACTGTCGAGAACACGTCGAACATCCCTGTGCCTATACCAAAGACCCCACAAGGAGAGAATACAGTGCTAGACCATGTCATCATCAGTCAGGAAGCTGTAAAGACCAAGTGTTTAAATCTAAAGCCTGACAAAGCACCTGGAAGGGACAAGATCCCACCTAGAGTTCTAAAGGAGGCTGCTGATACTATATGTGAACCACTGCATATGATTTTCCAACACAGCCTGGACAACAGCTACATCCCGGATGGTTGGAAAGATGCCAACATTACGCCCATCTTTAAGAAAGGTCCCAGAGACCGACCGTGCAACTACAGACCGGTTAGCCTGACGTCCGTGGCTTGCAAGATCATGGAAGCATGTTTACGGGACCATATTGTGCGCCATATCGAACAGCATCAGCTCATGAACACCACACAACATGGATTCCGCTCAGGGCAGTCGTGTCTGACTAATCTTCTGGAATTTCTGAAAAATGTCACCAAGCACGTAGACGAAGAAAATCCTGTTGACATCATATATTTGGACTTCCGAAAGTCCTTCGATGAGGTACCACACAAGAGACTGATTCGGAAACCATGGGCGTTTGGAATAGAAGGAACCGTTGTCAGTTGGATTGAGGAGTGGCTAACGGAACGAAGGCAGAGAGTAGTTGTGAATGGTCAACAATCGGACTGGAGACCAGTGACAAGTGGTGTGCCTCAAGGGTCTGTGCTTGGCCCTGTCCTTTTCTTAGTGTACATTGACGATACAGTGACCAGTAGTCTCCAAGTTTGCGGACGACACCAAGCTATACGGAAGTGTCAGTTCGATGGATCAAGTCCACAAGCTACAAGGCGATCTGAACAAGTTGTTTAAGTGGTCAGAGGACTGGCAGATGCTGTTTAACTTGGACAAGTGAAAATGCATTCACATGGGTCATCGAAACCCCGAGGTCACATATCATATGAACAATGTGCCATTAGCCAATGTGACTGAGGAGAAGGACTTAGGGGTTATAATTAATGCCTTACTAAAACTATCTAGACAGTGTGCATAAGCAGCATAAAAGGCAAACAAGGTGCTAGGAGTCATCAGAAGGTGTTTTACCTATAGGTCGAGGCACACCATCGTTCCCTTATATAAGTCCTTGGTCCGTCTACAGACTCTACACCTTGAATATGCAATACAAGCTTGGAGACCATATTTGATCAAGGACATAGAGCTCCCTGAAAAAGTTCAGAGACGAGCGACTAAACTTGTGGAAGGGTTGGGTAGCTTGTCATACTGGTCAGCAAAGACTACAAAGGCTGAATCTAACTACTCTAGAGACGCGTAGAGAGAGAGCTGATCTTATCAAGACCTACAAGATTATCACAGGCTTGGAGAACATTGATCATAGGACTTTTTTTTCACCCTCAGTCCTGTCCACCACCAGAGGTCACAGCATGAATCTGTACAAAGAGCGCCGTCGTCGTGAAATACGTAAAAATATTTTCTCTCAGAGAGTGATTGACAGCTGGAACAGCCTTCCCCAATATGTTATTGCGACAAAGGACGTGCTCTCATTTAAAATCGAATTAGGCCGCTATTGGACAGTTCAGGGTTTTATATTTAAGCGCAAGCTGCCTAACCCTTTGATAGCCATGCAAACCCTTGATGTGTGACTGGACAGGTACAGGTAAATACAGGTATGTGTATTTCATTATCTGAACTAACATCAGTAATCTAGCTGTAATGCTCATTCAATTGTATCGGCTTTCACATTGCAGGGATTACCGGATTAGGATTAGCTGCACCGGCGTGTGACTTTACTATGTCGGTTGCCAGCAGGGAAAGACTCATTGAGTCTGTTAATAGCAAGAATGATGCAGAACTTTTTACACTGTTACGTGAAAATGTGAGTACAACAAACTCATCGTCATTGTACTTACTTTAGGTATATAATCTGTTATCTCATTTAATTAACTTTTTTTTTTATCTATATGCAATATTTCTAATATTCAATGTCATATGTCATTATGTTATATCGAACTTTCGAATTTATAAGTTGTAAATATCCCTCCTATAGTTTTTATGATGGAATTCAAACTGTTGGATGAAACTAATCGGTAATTGATCTATCTGTAATTGATCTATCTGGGTTAATTGTTACTCAACCGTGAAGATTGAAAACGTACAGCTGACGTTTCTGTAATTAATCGTAGAAATCCAAGGAAAGTTCTGTTGATCTGGAGGATTGGTTGCAAGCATTACAACACAGCCAAGTGAGGGAACTATGGCGAAAACTTTGTGACTGGATCAGTGAAATATTACTGAGCAATGTCCTAGAGGGTGATGAGGGGACACCAGAGGTTAGTATGAAACTCGGAGGAGAAAGAAATCGTGAAAGAGAATAGAAATCTCCATGAAGTTTTTTTAAATGTAATGCTTAATGGAATAATTATTTTTCAAAGTGTCAGTATAAAGCCATATCATTTAAGCAAAGTCACTTTTACCTAGCTCACGATTTCAGATAGATGACTTAAAAATGTACTTATAATTTAAACTTTATAGGATCAGAAGAAGGCTTCTGGCATTCTTGGATCTATAATTTCTTTAGCCATCATAACAGTATGCATAGAAGATCCATTCGTTCCGGAGGAGTTGTTAGAGGCTGCTGTCATTCTTCATGGTAACTAAATACTCAAGCTTGCTCACTGTATACGAAATGTCATTTGCAACACATTATCTACAGATAGCCACAAGGCCACAGAATAAGCCCACGGATGTATTGAATCAATCTATTGAAAATTATATACTAAGAAAGTATTCTTTATATATAGATATAATTTCCTATGGTTGGTTCATTATAGCAGTGAAAAAAATACACGGGGGCTCGGGGCGATTTAGCCTCTGAAATGCCAAAAATTTGCATGGAGTTCAATGCAAACCGAATTTTAGAGTGCTATTTTCATGCACGCGAGCTTGAAAAGTAGCCCCCAAAAAATGAATTTTTTTTTTCCTGCATTATAGTTACATTTAAACCTTAGATGAAGTGTGCAAACTCATGGTTTTTAAAAAGGTGTTCTGCCATCGTTGCCCGATTTCCTGGATGAGGTGAAGAACGGCATAGCTAGACTGTGCGAGGCATGGCAAGTTGCTGAACTGGAAGAGAGCGACTCACTCACCAGTAATACTATCGTGTACCTGCTCGCACGCTCTCTGCGACCGAAAGCTGCTGTAAGTGTCCACTGTGTGTAGCTATAGTTAAATCTCTATATATTAAGAGTCATACAACGGATACCCCCAATAGTATCTTTTATAGATATGTTTCCATTCTATGGAGATGGTTTTGCATTATAACTGCTACATGGAGTAATGCAAAAAGTCTCCTCTGTAGGCAGGTGGTGTGCATTTTATTGAAATGGTAGCACTATGTAACTGTCACTCAAGGGAAACCCCCAAACCATTGTAGATAGACAGGTATCTCGTAGGTATAGATCTATACTATAGAGGTCATTTCACCGTATAATTGCCTCGCAAATGAAACACCAAATATGTCCTTTGTAGACAGGTGGCTGCTGTATAGAGGTGTCCAATAACAGGTTTTACTCTATGTAGGTATGGATCAGGTTCATGGTCAATGCATGAGGGTGTATGAGCCCTGTTGATTCTATGAAACCAGGGGACTGTTGTCAGAAACATAAAGTCTACTCGTTAAAGTTATTGTTAAGACTAATATTAAGAAGACAAATTGCGTTTCTGACAACGGCCCAGGTTGTTCTGTCATATTGACGGTGGGGTGTGCTTCATGTCCAGTGTATGAGGTTAAGTGACCGTATCCAATGTTATTTGATGTACTAATGGTAAATGTAATGTACTGTCATACGTAGTGATTGTTTGTGTAAAGAAATCTTATACTGTATCGGTATATGAATCCTCTAATTAAAACCATATAGCCAGATGTTAGTACTCTGAACAATACTAATGACATTTGGAATGGCAGCTGGACAATGCAAAATGTCGCATCATTGTTCTGCTGTTTCAGTTTGTCGATATCGTCAGGGTCGTGAGCATGAGTGGCGCCATCCAGCAGCACGTGCAGGCTGGCAATGAAACGGTGACAAACATGTTACTGCATTGCATGATCCGTAGAGAATACCTTCTGAAACCCAAGGCAAGTCCGATCAACTGATGTCGATTACCACTATCTTCCTAATTCGCGTATTCCTTATTTTAAGAAAAAATTTAAATTGTGGTAGAAAGTAGTGGCGTTAAACTTCTATCTCACACGGTGGCAGCGGGCAGATGTTCAGAAAGGTTTCTGTGCTGATGTGACTGTTTATTCACACACATACACACACACACACATACACACACACACACACACACACACACACACACACACACA